CCTCTCTCTCTGTCTCTCTCTGTCCCTCTCTCTCTCTCTGTCTCTCTCTGTCCCTCTTTGTCCCCCTCTCTCTCTGTCTCTCTCTGTCCCTCTCTGTCCCCCTCTCTCTCTGTCTCTCTCTGTCCCTCTCTGTCTGTCTCTGTCTCTAAAATCACAGAAAAAGAGAAATGAGAGAATGTCTTTGACTTGTTTTCTGTCCATAAACTTTCTTCTCTTGTCTTCTTCTTCCTCTTCAGTAATGAAAACAACTCTGTGCAGGATCTTTACCTTCTTTCTTCTTCTCCTTCTTCTTCTTCTTCTTCTTCTTCTTCTTCTTCTCTCTTTTCCTTCAGTGATAAAGAATCTTTACCTTCTTTCTTCTTCTCTTTTCTTCTCTCTCTCTGTCTCCGCTGAAAAACACCGAGGCTCAGGAACTCACACACCCCGCCCACAGCCGGACTGGCGGCTGATTGGGCCAATCACAGGGCGGGATGAGGAGTACATCATTTTAAATCAGAACTGAAGACCACGCCCCTCTAAATACCACCATAAAATCTAAATGATCATAAATCATAAATCATATCACTACACTGATTTATGATTCATGATTTCATATCAATATATCTACACAATGTGGACAGAAGTATGTGGACACGATTATCAACATTTATCATCATCATTAATAATCATTAATAATCAATAATCAGTTAATTAGCTCTCTCCCTGCAGTCATGTGAACACCCGGACATCTTCATCCTCTCTGACAAAACTACAAATCCCACAATCCTCTGCAGGGAGACATCATGAGGTCACGAGTAAATCCAAACAGCTGCACCCCCCCATCCTGAGATTGACCGCTGTGTGTGTGTGGTGGGGGGAGGGGTTAATCTGTGTGGGCGGGGTCTGGTGTGTCAGTAAAAACCAATAATCCGTCTAAACAACAGACTGAAGGACAGAAAGAGAGAGAGGAGGAATAAACCTACAGACCCTTCATCCTCATCCTCATCATCGTCATCGTCATCACAGACTCTCTTAACACCTGCTCAGGTAAAACATCTCTTCATATCTTAATGTGGAGTCTGTGTGTGTTTCACTGATGCTGCTGGTGTCGTCTGATCTGTTCACCATCACCATCATCACCATCATCTTCATCATCATCCTCTTCATCACAGTTTCATTAAGGTAACCTGTTTATCAATCATATTTAACAGTTTGTGTTTTACACTGAAAATTTGCTTCTTCCTGGTTTTTAAATAAACACACGAAGAAGTAAATAAAATAAACTTTATTAAATTTACAGAAAAATCTGACGACAGANAAGCAAACAGACAGATTAGCAAAATGCACTGAGGTGTTTCAGGTAGGCACTGACTCAGCAAGCTTATAGGAGCTTGTAACGTCAGTCGTCTGTTAATTGCACACATATATATATATATGTGTATATGTGTGTGTGTAGCTGAATATATAACATCATTATATTCCATATTCCATTATGAGTCAAGGAAACCAGCAGACTTTGCCAGACGCTCAGACTGGCGTACAGAGCACGTTGATTAACGTGCACGCTCCACATGAGTAAGAGAGCAATCATCATTTGTTATTGAAACTCCATATATCGTTTCAAAATGTCTCCTCCGAGGAGAGGACCATGCTGATTGACTGTGATCCACAACCTCCGCCATTGTGCCTTGATGATAAACAGAGGCGGCCCCAGCACAGAACCCTGGGGAATTCCAGTAGTGACTGGAATTGGCTGAGATTTGAAAGATTTGAGTCGGATGAAGTTAATATATATTTATAGTAAAGACATACAGTGTTTTATCAGACACGGACAAGAGGAAACAAATGTGAGACACTGAACTTTATTGAAACACCATGAGTTTACAGTGTGAGCAGCAGGAGGCGCTGCAGGAGACACACTTGATTGACAGGTTAGTTTTATTCAGAGAAAACAAAGAGCCTATGTTTGTGTTCAGAGAAACAAAGAGAAGAAAGAGGAATCATCTCAATGATGTCACAGAGATGTTATGCTCTCACACCCAGATGTCGGACGTGCAGTCTCCTCCTGGATACCTCAGCTCATGGGCGAGAACCGGACCGCCGGGTTCTTTACCAAAATCCACTAGGAAGTTCTCGTTCAGGGTCAAACCTCCGCTGACAGAGTTCACATCGATCTGCATCATCACCGAGCCGTCTCTGAACACACAGGTCAGAGGTCAGTACTGGATGATGTCAGAAGTCACGCACTTGATAATTTCAAATATTAGATGAGGTAAGAGGTCATGTTCCTGATGAGGTCAGAGGTCACACACTACGTGAGGTTGAAGGTCATGCACTAGATGAGGTCAGAGGTCACCTACTTGATGAGGTCGGGGTAGAACTGTTTGTCCCAGCTGCTGAACAGAGATGTCGTCACGTACAGTCTCCGACCGTCCAAACTCAACTGCAACATCTGAGGACCTCCAGAGACACGCCTCCCCTGAGAGACAGACAGGTGAGATAAAGAGTGAGACAGACAGAGGGGAGAGAGTGAGACAGGTGACAGCTCAGTATATAAACATCATCGGAACTTAACAGAAATATAAAAATCTTTTCAATCCTCTGACTCTGGAATGCACTCAAACTATCAATCAACTCAATCAATCACCGCAGAGTGAAGGTGGACTCGGACTTCCTCTGCGCATTTCTGTCTCCTTTCCTAACTCCTTGCCCTTTCTTTCTGTCTCACCTGAATGATGCGTGGGCGGGGCTGCGGCTGGTTTTCGGGGTCCTCCCGGACCCTGACTGGTCCGTCACTGACAATACTTCCTCCTAGAAACACCTGGAAAAGACAGACAGGTGAACTGTCTCACTCTGATGCTTTACCTGATCACCATCATCACTGGACAAATGTTATGACATCTTACCTGGCCAACCAATCGGGGGTTCTTCCTGTCTGTGATGTCATACTGTCTGATGTCACCGTGCAGCCAATTACTGAAGTAGAGGAAACGGTCGTCCAATGAGATCAGGATGTCTGTGATCAGACCTGCAAAAACAGACAGACAGGTCAGACAGACAGGTGACTGGTCAGACAGACAGGTCAGACAGACAGGTGACAGGTCAGACAGACAGGT